TCTAAGGGGTAGAGTTAGCAAGGCCACGCCTCCGGGTGGGGTGACTTCGGCTTTTTCCATGGGACTGGAGCTCTTTGAGCCGGAGCCCTAGGGCTCCGCCATCCCCAGGCTTCAAGCCAAACCTGGATTCCAGACTTTCCTCCTGCACTCCACTGCCCCCCTCTGGTCAGGCAGGGTGGATGGGAAACTGGTCTTTGATCCGACTTGGAGAAAAGTCCTTCTTTCACTCCCCAGGGAGACAAGGTGTGCAGTGGGACTGCTCTTCACAAAAGCTTCTTCACGGCCCTTCCAGGCGCGTTATCTGTTTTGAGCAAGAAGAGGAAGCGCAGCCCCCCGGGGTGGCTCTGTGGCTAAGTGCAGCACTCGGGCAAGCGTGAGGCCATGAGTTTGATCCCCTGTGCCACCCACGTGTGCCCAGCATGGTCCCAGCAACTCTGCTGTCTGAGGACAAGTCCTGGTGTAACCACAGACTGTCATCTCCAGCAAGCAAATGGGTGTGAATGGGAGTCTCACAACCGAGCACTGTGGCCTGGAGCACACACACACCCCCGAGCATGGGGGAACACCTCAGTGACCCCTGGATGGCTCTACCGCCAGAATGTGAGAGGGCACTGCATCTAGATGAGAGTCACTTTGGTAAGCACAAGGGTCAAGTGTGCAAGCACCCAGCACCACCACTGCTGGTCACTGCACAATAGCAGCAAGGGAAGGGAAGTGGGAACCGAAGTAAATGCATAAGAACTGCATCAAGGCAGAGAAGACACATCTCCGATCTCGGGGGAGAGGGGTCTCACTGGGCGGGATCCAGGGTGCACAGCCCCTTCCTTTGCTTCAGTCTCTTTTCTTCTCTAGGGACAATGCCCCTGGAGACCTCAGCCTGGTGGTCCTTCACTGAGCCTTAGTTTCTCCCATGCAGGAAGGTCTTCCTGCGACTCTATCCAACATCATCTCCAGGCTGAGGGAACAATAAAAATCTCTCCTCCCTCCCACCCCAAGAAACTGCATCCCTTTGTGGGGGCTGCCAAAGGATAATAGGGTGGTCTGGGATCTCCCAAGTTTTGTTCCAGAAATCTGTATAGTAGTGTAGATCCATGGGAAGTCAAGGAGGCTTTAATCCAAAATAAAACCATTTTCCCAGAAAACGGTTTAAAATGTTTAAAAATATATATCTTAGAATAGCTGGAGTGTAGTGAGATGGGTAGAGCATTTGCCTTGCACACGGCTGACCAGAGTTCAATCCTCAGCATCCCATATGTGATTCCTGAGTGCAGAGCCAGGAATAATTCCTGAGCACCAATAGGTATGACCAAAAAAATGAACCATATGATGTCTTGGATTTTCGATATTTTACTTTTTTTAAATTATTTATTTATTGAATCACTGTGGGAAAAGTTACAAAGCTTTCAGGTTTAGGTCTCAGTCATGCAAATATCAAACACATTTCCCTTTACCAATACTTATTTTTTACCACGAAGAACCCCAGTAGAACCCCACCCCTCACCTCTCCCAATGCCTGCGAGGCAGATGAATTCTAGTTAACACTTTATCTGCTTTGATTAGATTCATTGTTTCAATAAAAGATGCACCACTATTATTTAGAGTTTACCCCCGCCCCCAAATGAGACATGCTGAAAAAGCATTGTGAAATGATTTGCTTTCTACAGCTGGGTTCAAGAATTAAATGTTGGTTTTAGATTTCCGCTGTTTTACTTATTAACCCTGGAAGTATTTCTACTGAAAGTCAGATAATTAAGAGATTAGTTTCTGTGCTCTGGAGTCGTGGCCATGCCGGAGAGCCGCTTGTGGGGGGGCAACTGGTGACCTCGGTAGGGCATGAAGGACGGACCAGAATGCCCCCCTTCCCATGAGGTTTTAGTCGCCCCCACACCCCTGGCTCATACCTGCTGTCCACAAGGCTCCCATGCGGCCGCCATCTTTCTTTCCAGAGAGGAGAGGGCGAATGGGGCAACACCCTTTCCCCTCCGGGCAGACATGATGGCCTGGATTAACCCATAGTCCGTTCACTTTTCTGCTCCAAGATGCTGGGTTCTGCATTAAGTCCTTGTGTTCTGGGGCCGTGGCCATGCTGGAGAGCCGCGCTCGTGGGGGGCAACTGGTGACCTCGGTAGGGTGTGAAGGACGGACCGGAATGCCCCCCTTCCCATGAGGTTTTAGTCGCCCCCACACCCCTGGCTCATACCTGCTGTCCACAAGGCTCCCATGCGGCCGCCATCTTTCTTTCCAGAGAGGAGAGGGTGAATGGGGCAACACCCTTTCCCCTCTGGGCAGACATGATGGCCTGGATTCGATATTTTACTTTTTAAGTCTGGAGATGGCATGCGGGTACCAGGGCTGAGATCTCCAAGCCTGCTCAGATCGGAACTGGGCCTCCTCCACCCAGATCCCCCATCTTCCAGTAGGTAGGTGTCACACCCACCAGCTGCCGCCAGCATCAGGTGGTCCCATCAATGGCCAAGACCCAGAGACTATAAAACTCAGCTCCCGGAAGCGCGTGGCCACATGACATCTTATTATCTCGTTCTTACTTTGGAGAACCTGGCAGGCTACCGAGGGTGTCCTGCCCACACGGCAGAGTCTGGCAAGCTTCCCGTGTTGTACTCAATATGCCAAATACCAGTAACAATGATGGGTCTCATTCTCCTAACCCTGAAAGAGCATTTAATATGGCTCTTTTAAAATCTCAGGGCTAGAAAGAAGGAGACATTACTGGTGCCTGCTTGAGGCAATCGACGAACAACAGGATGATCATGATCATGATATATATGTGTGTGTGTATATATAAATATATATACATATATAAAATCTTGCAGTCAACCATCTTAAAATTATAATTAATTCTAGAAGTTATTTTTCAACAGCTCTGCAAAAACATAATTCACTTATCTTTCACTTACTTGAAGTGTGTGATTTTTAGGAAATGTACAGGATTGGAGAACTATTACCACAATCCACTTTGCACTTATTCCCTGGGACAATGCAAACCTACAGCCCAAGGCTCAGACTAAATTACATCTGTCTTGACGCTTCTGCAGTTGTAATAACTGTCTCTGGAGCCTTCGATACCTGATTATATCCTCCTAAACAGAAATCCTTTTATTTCTTTGTTTCCGAGGCTTACCTAAATTATGTTAGGTTCTTATTCCAGCACATTTACACAACTTCCAAGAAACACTGAATCACACGAGAATGAGCATCTCCTCTAGGAAGTATTTTGAAAAGGGTGTGAGTGATGCATACTCAAAAATACATGTGCTGTTTTTTGGGATGATCGTCTTTATTAAGTAATTGTATTGGGATTGATTCATTATTGGCAGGAGACTTGTTTTCTCTTTTTCTTTTTTGTGTTTGGACCACACCCGGTGATGTTCAGGACTTACTCCTGGCTCTGTGCTTAGGGATCACTCTTAGTGGGGCTTAAGGGACCCTGTGGGGTCCCGGGGGTTGAACCCTGGTTAGCCATGTGCAAAGCAAGCGCCCTACCCACTAGACTATCTCTCCGCCCCTCCTGGAGTCCTGTTCTTAAGCATAGCGATAGACCAGCAACATACTCTGAATACTTGTGGGAATTCCACTTCATCTCCTTAACCTGCTTTCTAGTTTCTGATGTTGCAAATAAAAAGTCAAGAAATGATTCCTTTCCCTCAGTAACACAATTTTTTTTCTTTCTTCCTGAAGTCTTCTTAATGTCTTCATTCTAAGAGTCCAGGAATCTTTCCAGAATATTCCATCAGACAACACTGCTGAACTCCTTTAACGGGTGACACCCAATTCAGGTAATGGAACTCTGGGCTTAGTACCTGACACCATCCCTTTGGGCCCCTTCCTCTCCCACGATCACATCCACTTATAGCCTGACTTTAAGAGACAGACACTTGGACTGGAGCGATAGCACAGTAGGTAGGGTGTTTGCCTTGCATGCGGCTGACCTGGGTTCAATTCTCAGCATTCCATATGGTCCCCTGAGCACCACTCAGGAGTAATTCCTGAGTGCATCAGCCAGGAGTAGCCCCTGTGCACTGCCGGGTGTGACCCAAAAAGCAAACAAACCAACAAACAAAAAGAGAGAGAGAGAGAGAGAGACACACACACACAATTCAAACCACTAGTGAAGTAGTCCTGTTTGATTTCATCCTTCCCACTCCATGTGGTGAAATTATTTTCTTAGATCATTTACGTGATAATCATTTTTTTACCTTGGTTCTGAAACAAAAATTCAAAAAGAAGATAAAATAGCCATTTCAAGTGCTTTTCAAATTCAGCCAGACGGTCCACGTGAACTGAAAATCTGCACTTGCCAAATGAACATGATTCAATGTTGAAGTCTGCACTCCATTTCATTGTTTTCTATTTTAAACACAAATAGGCATCCTATCGGTCACCTGGAATGGTAGTTGAAGTCACTCTGATCTATAACCATGGTGCTACTGTTTTGTTTTTTATTTTTAGTGAAATAGTTTAATTACGAGAATCGAAAGTGCCACAGCAACTGGTAACAAGAACTGCATGCAGAGTTAGCTGGCGCCATACCAAACGCCTGCAAACTTGCTCTGGAAAAGGTCCAAACCCAAAAATAATGTGTGTGTGTTTGGTTCTGGTTTAAGTGGGCCACTGTGTAATAAGGAGATGTTCAAGTTCACTCCAGAGAGAGTTTTTTAAGGATAAGTAATAAAAATGTACTATTTGGAGCATACGTGTAGATTGCATAAATGTTGTGTAACTGAATTCCAGTTACAGGTCTAGCACATAAGAGCTTAGAAGCGACCATTCTCCTTCTTAGAAAAAGAACAAACGGAAACGGTTGGGTTTTTGTTGAGCCATCAGATAAATGAGGTCATAGGGTAAAAAACATGCAAAAATCGATACATGACACCCTTTTCTAGGGGTGTGGGGAGACAAGGAGAGGTCGTACTTGTGCCAAGTCAGCAAACACAGCCCCCAGCATGCCTTGCGTGGCCCACAAGACATGATGCTGGGGGAAAGAGTGCTGGATTTTGATAAGAAAATGTGCTTGGGGTGGAGAGATTAGGCAGTGGAGAAGGCACTTGCCTTGCATGCTGCTGACCCAGGTTCAATCCCCAGCACCTCAAACCTGCCAGGCATGAGCTTTGAGCACAGAGCCAGGAGTACAGTGAGTGGGATGGGGTGAGGGGAAGAAGGAAAGAAAGAAAGAAAGAAAGAAAGAAAGAAAGAAAGAGAGAGAGAGAGAGAGAGAGAGAGAAAGAAAGAAAGAAAGAAAGAAAGAAAGAAAGAAAGAAAGAAAGAAAGAGGAAGGAAGGAAGGAAGGAAGGAAGGAAGGAAGGAAGGAAGGAGGAAAGAAGGCAAAAAAAGGAAGAAGGAAAGAAGGAAAGAAAGAAGAAAAGAGAAAGAAGGGAAGGAAGGAAGGAAGGAAGGAAGGAAGGAAGGAAGGAAGGAAGGAAGGAAACAGATGGCTTTTTTTGTCCTTGTTTTTGTTTCCAAGTTCACCCATTTTGTTGGTGAAATACATGTGTGTTTGTTTTTTTTCAGGTCAACATATTTGGCTGCCTCTTTGGGAATCCCAAGATAAACCCCCTAAAATCTGAGGCTGGTGGGAAAGCAGGGGGAGGCGCTGAGGGAGCCATTGACTCTGACCCTGGTGTCCTAGCTCTGTCCCCTCCCAGTCTGAGGGCTGCCGCTGCTCCCTGGGCTCTCTGTGGTAATGATCCGGTAAGCCTATTCTTTACTAAGCCCTGTGTGTGTGTGTGTGTGTGTGTGTGTGTGTGTGTGTGTGTGTGTGTGTTTTATGTATATTTCTTTTCTTTTTGGGCCTCACCCAGTGATGCACAGGGGTTCCTCCTGGCTCTGCACTCAGGAATTACTCCTGGCAGTGCTCGGAGGACCATATGGGATGCTGGGAATCGAACCCCAGTGCAAGGCAAATGCCCTATCCGCTATACTATCTCTCCAGCCCCTACCTTTTCTTTGAGGTACCAGCCGTGGTGGTGGTGGTGGTGGTGGTGGTGGTGGTGGTGGTGAGGGGAGGTGGGGGTTGTTTCTTTCAAGTGTTCCAGGTTTAGTTAACTGTCAAATCAAGCTGGCTGCCCTCTGGCTGAGTTGCCCAAGGCAGAGACTGAAGCTTTTCCCTCTTCTCTGGACTGAGTGAAGCCCCCGCCCCCCACCCCCTGTCTGCAACTCTAACCTTTGTGTTTTGGCTGTGTCTATCAAACTCCAGGACATGGCGGAAGAGATTGCTCCAAAGTCAGGCATTTTAGAGGTTTCCGGCCTTCCACCCAAGGCTCTGATTTCCTAATTTGGGAAACACCCAAACCTGTCCCTCCACAAATGCCATGTAAACCCACCGGCAGAAAATGATCCGATTCAACTGTTTGGAAATGCGGAACCTTCATGGAAGGCTGAAGGAAGGAAAACCAGTCGGAGTCAGAACCCTTTTGAATGAATCCGGGTCTCAGTCCCCCACTAGGTGGTGACCTCAGACAGCAGCCCGGAGTCCCAGGGCAGGTGCTGGTGGCTTGAGCTGACCCTGACAGTGCTCTCCTTCCTTCTGCGTGTCTGCTGGCTCTGGGGGCGTCAATTGCAGGCTGTGCCTTTTGCTTCCTGACTCAGAACCTGACCTGGGCTCTGTGTCCTAGCAAAGGTACTCATTTATTTTGGATTGACGGTCACACGCAGTTGTGCTCAGGACTTATCCAGGCTCTGGGCTCAGGGATCACTTCCAGAGGTACTTGAGGGTCTTAAGTGTGTCAGGATCTGAACACGGGTCATCCGCATGCTAAGCAAGCAGCTTTCCCACTATTCTAGCTTTCTGGCTTCCTCTCAAAGGCCTTTAAAGGCCGTGTCAATTCACAGTAATTGGGGTAAACATTAGACAGACCAAAACTGTGGGGAGAAAGGCTTGGAAATGAAATCTTTGAGGGAATAGGGCCTGGAAAAGCTGTCCCGTACCCCTGGGAAGCTAGGAGAGCAAGAAAGTGGCTGGGACCAGGTACATGGAGATCCCCTCCTGCCTGCCAACTTCTCACTCAATTGTGAACAGCCTTGAGTGTTGAAGACACACCCCAACACACACACACACACACACAGCCTATCTGCAAAGATATTTCCTCTCAGGCATGAGACGAAATATTTGTTTGTTTGTGTGTTTTTACTTTTTGGGTCGCACCCGGCAATGCACAGGGATCACTCCTGGCTCTGCACTCAGGAGTCACTCCTGGCAGTGCTCAGGAAACCATATGGGATGCTGGGAATCGAACCCAGGTCAGCCGTGTGCAAGGCAAATGCCCTACCCGCTGTGCTATCTCTCCAGCCCGAGAGGAAATATTTGTTGTATCGCTATTCCAACCCTAAGCATACATAGTCTTAGTGAGTGAGCCCACAGGATGAAGAAAAGAAGAGTTGGCAAAATTTAAGCTACTTACTTTTTTTTCTCTTTTACATGTTTTTGGCTATCTTCCTAAAGATTTGAGTTGCACTTAATATTCTGAAACAGTCCTTTTAGGGGCCAGAGTGATAGTACAGTTGAGCATTTGCCTTGCACGCAGTTGATAAGAGTTCAATCCCAGCATCCCATATGATCCCCCAAGTACTGCCAGGAGTAATTCCTGAATGTAGAGCCAGGAGTAACCCTAGATCAGCCCCACGTGTGACCCCAAAAAAGCCAAAAATGGGGGTGGGGTGTTTTTATTTTCATTTCCTTGATTGACTCTGAGGCTGAGTACCTCCTTTCATTGATAATAGTATGATTCTGGGTACCAATTCCACTGTGTGGGCTTTATCTCAGTCAACACCAAGTAATCTTGGACACCAATGGTTGTCCTACAATTCAGCTCAGTGCTGACATGCCCCAGCTGGGGGAAGCACCATTGCCACAGGGGAAGGACTGGGATTTGGTCCTTCTAGTCTGCTGCCCTTCACAGAATTTGGGCACAGTCCAGATAGTTTCTTGTGCTTCTGACCAACTGACTCTGAATCAGAGGTTCCCATAAACCCATTCCTAGGGTTGGATGGGTCTGCCAGAATGGTCAGTTTCTCTTGACTACTCACTGGCTTATTACAAAGGCAGCAAATGAGACATCACGGGGGTGGGGGGGCGGAGGGGGGAGGCACAGGGCAAGATCTCAAGGAGCGTCCATCCTTTAGAATTTGGGGCCCAGCTCAGTAGCCTGTGGAAGACTTCTAGCTCACCCACCTGGGATTCCTTCATCCTTTCTTCCTGGGGTTTTATGCTGACATCATTGTTTAATGCATAATGGATGTAGTTGTTGGTCTCTGACTCAACTTCTAGCCCCTCTTCCCTTATTAGGGGAGGGAATAGGAGACAGTAGAACCTCCAACTTCTATTCATGGTCAGTCTGTTGCTAATCAGAGACCTCCATTTTTAGGGGATTTCCAACGGACTTTATTAGCACCAAGCTGACTGTATAGGAAGGGCCTGTTGTAAATAAGACAGTCTATTTCACCTTCTAAGGCCCTGCAACAAATTCAGGAACTGAGGAAAGAACCCAAAGATCATGACTAAATGTCCCCAGGAAATGCCAAGAGTTTGGAGTGCCATGATCCAGGAAGTCTGGATCAAAAGCAACATATTTATTATAAATCACATGACTAGTTGTATTTCCTGCTGTCCATCACTTGTGAAGAACTTGATCGTCTCTCTATTGGGTTGTCAGCTGTGTTACTGCTGGCCCATAATAAATTCTGCATGCAAATACTAGGAACTCTATGTTAGCTTCCCACGGTAACACAGCCCTGCAAAGTGAGTGGCTTAGGACAACAGACAGTGATTCTCGAGACTGGATGTCTGAGCTCCGTTTGTCACTGTCTTCTGCATCCTGTGTGTTGAAAATGCTTCTCTCCCATCCTTTATCTTTGCTCATACCGTCTTCCTCTGTGTGTAACTGTGTCCTCACATTCTTCCTTAAAGGAATCAGGCATGCACTGTTCAAGGGACACCACATTGCCTACCTGAGGGTCCCTCCTTTTTTGATTAGCCCTGCAAAAGACCTGGTTTCCAAAAAAGGCACTGGCCCCTCAGCATCCCCAGGCTGCTCACTGAGGCTCATTGCAGTCACATTTTATATTCTTTTGACTATTTGTATTGCTTCTATGCAGGAAAACTTTCATATTTTTTTTGGTTTGCTTTTTGGGCCACACCAGGTTTACTCCTGCCTCAGCTCTCAGGAATTATTCCTGGTGGTGTTCAGGGAACCATATGGGATTTCTGGGAATCAAATCCAGGTTGACTGCAAGCAAGGTGAGCATCCTATCTGCTGTACTGTCTCTCTAGCCCAGAAAACTTTAGTATTTTGACATGCTTAAGTCAGGTCAGTTGCATTTTTTCCTTTCTGACTTCCAAGGAACAGAAGATTAGCAACTCTAAGCTTTGAGATTTATTATTCTAGATCCAATTGACTCTTTTTGTGTGTGTGTGTGTGTGTGTATTTGGGCTATACCAAGGAGTGCTCAGGGCTTACTTCTGGCTCTGTGCTCAGGGGCACTGGTGATACTAGCACAAGAGTGGATTTTCCTGAAGAGGTGGATTTCTGAAACTTGTATGAAAGATTTTCACACAAAACTCCCAAGGATAGGAAGTTAGAGTTTATGGTACAGTTTAAACAGATGGGGCCCAGAGAGATAGTACAGCAAATAGGGCATTTGCCTTGCACACGGCCAACCTGGGTTCAATCCCCAACATCCCATATGGTCCCCCAAGCACCGCCAAAATAATTTCTGAGGGCAGAACTAGGAATAACCCCTGAGCATCGCTGGGTGTGGCCCAAAAAGCAAAATAAATCAATAAATTAAATAGATAGATCTGTGTCTCTCCCTAATGTCTTGGCCACTCTTTTTACCTATGCATGACATCACTCATCCTAACCCGTGCTGCCCTGTTCCATGTACAACTTCCTGGTCCAGTCCCTTACTGTCTGCCCACCTCCATAGATAATGACCTGGTCTTGTCCCTATGCCACCCTCTATCCGGTGTGTGCTTTCCTTGTCTGAAATTGTGTCCCTGGAACTTTCCCGGACTGTAACCCAGTGTTTATCTCTTATTCGGTCCCGGCTTTCCTTGTGCCTCCAGCCTGCCATCTCTCTGAGCATAAAGTCCCTCTTAATCTGCTGTCTGTCTGGGTATATGAGCTTTAGTTCACCCTGCCTTCTTTCTGAGTGTGTGACATGCCCCCACCCCCTCACCCCCCAAACTAAAGTCTGACTTGGGCATAAGTGAATATCCAAAGAGAATGAGAGGGGAGGGCACAGAGAGAAGGTCCAAAGGGCCTGGCCTGACTAGGGGGCTTCCTTTTTATCTGCCACCATCCCCTCCTGCCAACCACCCTCATACCATTATACATTTGATTGGATACTTTCTCCATGGGAAAGGTTTAAAGTGACCAACTAAATTAATTAGCTCGCCTGGCACTGCACCTTTCCACTCCTACTATAACAGTGGGGCATCAAACCTGTGAAAGGCTTACTTGCTATCTCTCAATCCATCAAGAAATTAATCTGAGGGCCCAGCTTCACAACCTCAGGACTAATCTTGGAAGAGATGCCAAGCCCAGCTGAGGAAACTCACAGGTACACTGGTTTTCAGGACTGAAAGCTATGGGGCACACTCAGGAGGGGAGAAATGGGATGAGATCCTGGAGCTCCTTTAGCACACAGCCGCATATGGGGCCACATGACACCTCTGAATGCCACGATACTGACAGCCCAGTAAGAGCACAGCAAATTAGATGGGAAAGTACCATAGAGGCCAACTAAGCAAAATAGCACTGTAGCACTGTCCTATTGTTCATTGATTTGCTCAAGCAGGCACCAGTAACGTCTCTATTGTGAGACTTGTTGTTACTGTTTTTTGGCATATTGAATACACCATGGGGAGCTTGCCAGGCTTTGCTGTGCAGGCGGGATACTCTTGGTAGCTTGCCGGGCCCTCCGAGAGGGGTGGAGGAATTGAACCGAGATTGGCCACATGTAAGGCAAAATAAGCAAAAATAATAATGCAGAAGGCTCAACTACAACAAACTACTCAGTAAATCATTACACAATGATTCTATTCACCCCACTGATATCAATTCTCATAAACTTTCTTTTATTGAACTATTTTTTTTTATAATTCCACTTACCATTTTGCTGCAACCAGTAATATAACATGAATTATTTCGTACCAGGGCTGGAGCGATAGCACAGCAGATAGGGCGTTTGCCTTGCAACCTTCGATTCCTCCGCCCCTCTTGGAGAGCCCGGCAAGCTACTGAGAGTATCTCGCCTGCACAGCAGAGCCTGGCAAGCTTCCCGTGACGTATTCAATATGCCAAACAGAGTAGCAACAAGTCTCACAATGGAGATGTTACTGGACCCTCTTGAACAAATCGATGAACAACGGGAGGACAGTGACAGTGACAGTATTTCGTACCTGTGAGGTACGAAAGCAGACCCGTGAGGTGGGTGGGAAACAGAGAACAATTGTGAAGGGAAAGTCACGCTGGTAGTGGAATTGGTGTAGGAACATCAAATGCCCCCAAAAAGTGTATTATAAACAACTTTGTAGATCACAGTATTTAAATAAAGTTAAATAAAAAATGAATATAAATAAATGAAAATGAAAATAAAATGTATAAAATAAAATAAAAATATAAATAAAATGAAAAATAAATAAAATAAAATATAAATAAATATGAAATATAAATAAAAATGAAAATAATAATCTGAGGGGCTGGAGAAATGACTCAAAGGGCTGGGACTCTGCTTTTTATGTGGGAAGCTGGAATTCTATCCCCAGATCATAGCTGGGCATGATCCACCAGCACAGAGCCAGATGTACCACCAAAATATATTTTAAGAAACAAAGAGAGAACTTAATCCGTGTAAACCCTTAATTCTTAAAGATTTAAAGACAAATGCTAGTTCTTAAGGGAGGAAGAAATGTCTCCTCACTTCTGTCTCTGAATGGGCCAAGAACACATCCCCTCCTCCCACTGGACCAGTAAATCACAGCACGATCCAGAGGGGTATTCAGTCTTTTGTTCTTTTCCTGCTTCCCCTTCAGGCCCAGCAGGATAAGAAAGCAGACAAAGACCCCTGCCTTTGAAGGCTGCTCCCTTAGCAACACAATTGGAGCCTTAGAAATGAACAGTCCAGAAAAGACTGAAGAATAGCTATTAAGCGTGGACTGTTACTGTCCTTGGTCTCTCTGCCTGGGTGGAAAGAAAGAACATGACCCATGTGCGTACACACTCTCTCTCTCTCTCTCTCTCTCTCTCTCTCTCTCTCTCTCTCTCTCTCTCTCTTTATAAATGAACCAATACAAATGTCAAAAATGCCACTCTAAAATAAAGCTCTTCGCTGTTTTCCTCTCCTGTTTGAAATGTGTGAGTGTCGTAACAGTCTCTTCCTCAAGAGCTGGCCTCACTTCTTTGGAACTGCTCTAGCCTAGAATGTGATGGAGAGTGTCAGTGGAGAGCCGCCATCCTTAGTTCCCAGAAATCTTTGCAAAGGTTTGTGGGAACTCATCAGGAAGCAAAACCTGAGCCCAGCTGTGCGTTTTCCTCCTTTATCTGCACTGCAGGGGGGCGGGAGGGGGAGGGGGAGCCCTCGGCTGATGAGACATTGAGGTGCTTCCTTCTGCAATGCTGATCCAGGTACCCACACATCTGTCCCGGGGGAAATTTCAAAGGCTCTGACTGAGAGTTTAAGCTGAGCTCAAGAATCTCAGCTGCTTGGCATGATTTTATTTTTTTAAATTTTTTTAAATGTGGAATTATGGACATACAATGGTGTTCGGGTTTATTTCTGACTCTGTGCTCAGGAGTGGTGAGTGTTTGGGGGACCATATGTAGTCCTGGGGCTTGAAACAGAGTTGACTGACAGCGTGCGGGGGAAACATCTTACCCTCTGGGATGGTCTCTCCAGCTCTGAATCTTCTTGGATTTAAGACACTTTGCGACTTTCCTCTAGCCTCCTTTTTGGCCAGAGAGGGCAGAGAGGAAGGTCTCCCAAACTGTGTTGAGGAGTCCCAGAGACTCCTCCCTCAGCACAACAGGCTTTGGCTTCAATGTGAGGGCTTAAGAATGCAGTGTTTCTCAGGCTCTGCGTTGCCCAGGATAAACCTGTATCATCCCAGTGATGCTCAGGGGGACCTCTGGAACAGGATCAGACGAGCACAAGGAAACATTGATGCCAGGGATTGAACCAGGTCAGCTGCATGTGAGGCGTGCATCTTAACCCTAGACTGTCTCTCTAGCCCTTCTATTGCTTTTTTTTTAACTTAAAACATTGATTGAGATATGGTGATTTACAGTATTGTTAAGGATGCTTTTCTACATCCATAATTCTTATTTTAGTGCGCAGCTGGAAAACACCCCCAAAAAGAAAAGAAAAGAAGTCATTTTGTGTTGGTTGGGACCTCAAAAAAAGAAACAATAACACAAACAAATAAAGTGTCTGTGGCATTCTCGACTCTAATGTTTGGGAACAAGAACCTTGTTTCTGTGGGAAGATACTGGGGTCGTGTTCTTGTCCCATCTGCTGGCTCTTGGCCCTTCTTTATTAGCTGCTTCCCTGGAGCTTATAATGTAAGACTCCCACTACCTGCAGAGAAAGTTCTACTTGTTCCACATTCTCCCAGGGCCATCTTTGCCAGTCACTCTGATTGATTATAAGGAGGCATCACTCCTGTCATTACATTGCATTTTCTGTCTTTCCAAGTGTCACTGAACTCTGTCTAATCTCCTTGGTCAGCTACCCATTGGCTCTGGAAGGAGTACCTTTTTTCTTAGTGATGTGTAGATCTCACCTGAATCCCTCTTTCTCAAGTCCCCTGGTGCAGCCTCAAGTCTAGTGTAGATCAATCAATGCTTCATGCTCAAATCCATCAAGTGAGTCACTTCTCCTGTAGGAAGGAGTTGGGGAGGAAAAAGTGTGCTTAGGATAGGTGGGTAAGAAGCTGTGACCCACTATCATCCTTTCGTCCTAAGCCATTGACCTTCGCGGTCATACCTGTGACCAAGCGGGGCATAGAGATGAAGTATGTCGTTATCCACCCGTGGCTGCTCACCTGCATATTCCCTTCCTCTGCCCACCTGGGACCATGCATGTGGATTGTTCACCTGCTTACCACAGCTTCAAAGTCATTACAGGCCTCTGTGACATAGTCACAAGAAATACGACCGTGTGTTCACAGAAAAGCGTGCTCTAGGCAGAGATGCCCTACTTTATTTGGCCTCTTGGCCTCTTTTCAGGAAAACAAATCCCTCAACATCTGGAAGTCTACCTTCTTTAAGTGAACAAACAATACCCCTAACTGGGGGGGCTGGAGAGATAGCACAGTGGATAGGGTACTTGCCTTGCACGTGGCCCACCAGGGTTTGATCCCTGCCATCCCACATGGTCCCCCTGAGCACCGCCAGGAGTAATTTGAATGCAGAGCCAGAGTGACTCCTGAGCATTGCAGAGTGTGTCCCCCAAACAGAACAAGAAGTGCCCCTTGCATTGTACCTGAGGTTACTACGCCCTCCTCGATCATTCCAGAGGTCTCCAGGGGTGGGTTTTACCCCCCTTAGAAACACTACCCTAGACTGCCACAGCACTGTTCTGTGGGTAACTCAGACAAATGCTCCCAGTAGCAGGATGGACAAGTAAAGGGTCGTGTTCACACAGAGCATCACTTCCACAGAGAACTATTCACGGAAGCAGGGGATGCCCTGCTGGCTCCAGCCCACCAAACCCCAAGCGGGCAGAAGGACCCTAAAACAACTTTCCATCAATGGAGGTGGGTGGAAGTTCAACCAGGAGGGCTTCCGGGGGCTCACAGCGCTAGATTCCTTGGCCTGGGAGTGGTTCTGTGTGAGGTCAGCCTCGTCCAGCTGCGCATTGGGAGGGGGTGTGCTTTCTAGGTGCATATTGCACATGCAGTGGGATATAGGAAAGAAAACTCTGAGCCAGGGACACCATCGGAAATGAATGGGTGACTCAGAGGTCACTATCTGGCCTCTTCACACTCTCATCAGACAAGACGGGAAGGGGGTGGAATCTTTCCAAGAACCACAAAAGCATTTCTCTCCCCCCTTTGCCTTTGGATTCTGGAGCTCCCTGGCAGGAAGGCCACTTCCTTGGAGACGGCCCTTGAGTCCTGGATAAAATACTGTTGGCTGCCATCCTGGGGCGTCCCGGGAGCTCTGGGCTGCATTATTCACAGGCGGGGAAGGATGTGGGCACAGACGAGGCCTTGGGCCAGGGGAAAGGAGCAGTGGCCGGGAGAGAAGGTGGCGGTCAGGCCCCTAGTAGGGCTGGTGGGAGAAAGAGGTTCGCTGCTGGCCCTCCATGGACATCTGGGCTCTGATAGGGCAGGCCTTGGCTACAACAAGGGGTGCTGACTGAACCCCTCCTTGCAGCTACCCCCAGGTTCTTGGCCTCAGTGTCCCCATCTGCATGAGGACAAAGCTCCCTGGCCTCCCTCTCCTGGGAACCCAGCCATGGCCAGGACTTAGGCCAATGCCACAGGACCCTCTTGCCATACCGCTGAGCAGAGGCAGTGTGGCCAAGTCCTGCTCTTGGGACGATGACCTCACATTCTCGTGTGGTTCCAGGCAGGGAAAGTGGGGTGAGTGACACTTCCCTGGGCTCCAATTTGCTGAAAGTGATCTGGGAACTGGGGTCCCACTAGGTGTCACTGGCTTCGAAGATTGCAGGCCTGTGACAAGGGGCAGTTCAGGGTCCCCTCTCTTTTCTGTTCATTTATTGAGCAAGTAACACAACACATTACACATGGAACCAATGGGGCTGGAGAGAGGGGGAGAGAGAGAGAGAGAGAGAGAGAGAGAGAGAGGAGAGAGAGAGAGAGAGAGAGAGAGAGAGAGAGAGAGAGAGAGAGAGAGAGAGAGAGAACAGCAGGTAGGGCATTTGCCTTGCACACGGTTGACCAGGGTTAAATCCCCGACATCCCATATGGTTCCCTGAGCACCACCAGGAGTGATTCCTAAGCGCAAAACCAGGAATAATTCCTGGGCAATGCTGGGTGTGGCCCCCCAAAACAAAACAAAACAAAACAAAAACAAACACTATCCTCCCATTGTTCATCGATTTGCTCGAGTGGGCCCAGTAACGTCTCCATTTTTTTGATACTTGTTGTTACTGCGTTTGGCATATTGAATACATCATGGGTAGCTTGCCAGGCTTTGCCATGTGGGCGAGATACTCTCAGTAGCTTGCCGGGCTCTCTGAGAGGGGCGGAGGGGAATCGAACCTGGCTTGGCCAGGCTGGCTGTGCGCAAGGCAAACGCCCTACCGCTGTGCTATCACTCCAGCCCTAAACAAAACAAACAAACAAACACAAAAACGTTGACTGCTGCAACCCCCCCGCCCCCCGCCCCTGTCAATTCCCACTCATCTCCCCTGCCCTTCTGTGACTGCCACACTTTTACCAGCTCTTGGCATATCAGCTGTCGTGTACTGTGAGGTATTTGCTGCAGTGCAAGCAAATAAAATTGCCTTCCCACACCTCCCGCATTGCTCTGTGCCTGGCTTTGTCTGTTCTAGTAACGG